ATGTAGTTATAAAAATAACGACACCAAAGCTAAGGTTTCTCTTGGCAATTTTAAAACAAAATTTACACAAGAACTTCTGATTATTGACAATTAGTTAAATTAAAAATCTAAATAACGTAGATATACTTGTTCTTTATTTTTTTCTGAAAGCAAGCTACCTGCTTTGTTTTTTTTTTCTATTTTTGTTATTATTAACTTTATTTATACTTTAAATTTTTTTTTATTAATAACTTTAAAAAGTGTAAAAATAACTCATAATGCTATTAATAGTTATCGATTAATTGCTTTATTCTCTTTTTATTTTTTTTAATTTTAAAACACTTTTCCTTTTGTTCAACTTTTTATTAGAAACATTTTCTTTAAATCATTTTTCATTGAACTTTTTGAGTTTTTAAGGCAATTAATTGTGTAAGGCAAGGTTGCTTAAGTTATGCATGTTAACAGAGTAAAATTTTTTACCGCAAAAATATAAAAAAAAGATTTATGTTTTTTGAAGATTATTGTAGCTCAAGGAATAAAAATCATTTATTACTAAAAAAATAGACCTTCATACCAAAAATTTCTGTATTTTAACACACCCAAATATCTCATCCTAGGAAACCAGTTTCCTAAGATGACCTTTTTTTGAATGCAAGCTGCGCTACATTTTACTTAACAAATATTATAGTAACAAATAAAAATAAACATATAAACATATAAAAATAAAAAACAAAAAAAATTTTCATTTTACAGACATGGTTTTAATGTAATATATATTTTTATCAGTAAACTTATTATCGATAAACTTTTAATGTATTTATGTCAATAATAAAAAAGAGAAACAATTATAAAAGACAATTAGTAATGACGGGATAACTCAATGTTATGAGTTATTCAGAGTTTATTGATAAACAATCGAAATAAATACCAGTATCACCAGAACCACTGTTTTTGTGGAGCCATCTCCTACAATTCAGGCACTGAAACCATTCCTTATGTGGCAATTCATTACTTTTTTTTTCACAATGCATGGAGGAGCATCATTATTATAACTGCTAATATATCGTTTTCTGCATCTTTTTGATACTTTGGCTTTTCTTTTAGCAACTTATTTACTTCCGATTGATGCGGTTTTAATTATTTGTGAGCATGCTCTACTTCTTTTTTTACTCTGTTTATTTTTAACTGGAGCTGCTGGAAGCGACAAAATGTCAGTAACAACAAACTGTCTACGTAATAATTCATCTATAAAGAAAAAAAATCAGTGTTCACTGAATAATAACAATAATAACAATAATAATAATAATAATAGTCAATGAATTGTATTATGAAGACAGTCTTTTTAATATGCAAAAGATTTGCTCTTTGTCACATCAATGCTACAAGGTGTACACATTTGTGTAGATGAATGTATTGAATTTAAATTGTCACCAGCAACTTGGACAGAAATCTCCGAACTTGATAGTTGTTGTTGATTTAATAGAAGGTAATAAAATTATATTTTAGAAAAAAAAAAAGAATTATTACATATTGAGGGGGACCATCAGTCAGTGGCGAAACCAATGCGCATAATCATTTTAATATCAAAGAAGGCTATTTCTTTCCAAGGGCGATTTTAGTAATTAAATGAGGAACGCGTATCCTTAAAAACTGTCAACTGATTTCTGAAAAAAAATAGGTAGTCAAAACTAAAAATCTGCCTACTAAAATGTGTGAAATGCTGATGAGCCGACTATATTCCTTAAAGAACCGCGTCTTTTCGCAACTTTTTTAACAGTCTCATACACAATGAAAAGTTTGTTTTGAGAATAGATTTTACTGGGCAGATTGTGTACTAAAAACATTTTAAATAACTCAGATGATCAGTTTGTTTAGTAAATCTAAATAAAATCATCCAAACCAAACCATCACAATAAGACATGGCATTTGACGCTTACTTTACTTAGGCAGTTGTTAGCAGTGCCGTCCCTACGAATTTTATTAGTCGGAAAATTGGACACTTAGTCGGCTAATTGGACACTAGAGTCAGCAAAATTGGAATTATAGCAAATGTTGAAAAACGAGGATCTTTTTTTTTTTTTTAGATAAATTAGTGGACAAAAAAATATTTTTTTGGCTTTAGTCGGGGCAAAAATCAGTCACGGCCCCCCTCCCTTTAAAATGTCTTCGGGACGGCCCTGGTTGTTAGTATTAATATTAGTATAGAACTTTAATAAACTTGCAGACAAAATTGAAAAATTTGTCGAATTATTGGGAGTTCCAAAAACTTGCATGAAAAGTTTGAGTTTGCAAGGTCAACGCAATTTCGTAGTCAAATCTTAATTGCATTGGATCTTGCTACTTCAATTTCAGAAATAGTGATAGCTTATGACCAACAGTTCCAGCTTTTTGAACTATTTTTAAATGCTGTTTGCTCACAAGTGGTAGATTTACTAAAAGTTATTTTGCAAGTTTTTTAGAACTGATAAGTATCAGAAATGAATATCTAATACAAAAGTTGATGTCAAGAACTCATTCTAAAAATGGTTTTTATTTTTTTCTCCTGACACAAAACTTCCTTTATACAGAATTTTTTGTTTGTGTTTGAGGTATGACTTCATGCAAGCTGCAGATGTATTTGGTCTAGTAAATCTGTTAGAGGCCGACCCTAGACATAGTTTGCATTTGACTTGTGGAACATTTTTCAAAGTCGCTTCAACATCTTTAAAGCTATTTATCAGAGTTTTTGCCTTTTTTTTAACCAGGTGGAAGTCTAGTTTCTGTAAATTTAAAAGAAATCTTTGAAATTTTTTCGCGTCAAAATAGAAGTTGCTGGGAGCTTTAATAATGTTACATTAAAATATTATATATTATAAGTTGTACCTTTCTACGGCAAAATAAAACAAATGTATATATATATATATATATATATATATATATATATATATATATATAACTTTTTAAAAATAAAACAATAGCACGTCAAACGCAACAATTTGGTTGCAGCAAATCAAAGTGGATCCTGGTATTAAAGGCGTCGAATTGATTGCGCTTTATCCTGTGTTTTTGTTTCTGCAGTTTGCGACAATTTGTGAGAGGAGGAAAAATAAAGATGCAAGGAAAATCTAAATTTGGTTGTTACAAGCTGTTTCTTTGGTTTTTTACACGGCGTACGAGATTTTCACAAAGTGAAGAATAAACAATGGAGAGCGAGTGGATGTTTACTTAGCAGATCTGAAACACATGACGTATTTAGCAAAGTTTTTAGATGATGAGGAGCACATAGCGTTTGTTGATAGATAGCCAGAAACAGTATCTTGAAGATTTTGGGTCACATATGATACTATTGCCGTAATTCTGATAAAAGAACGGTCCACTCTAATTTTAGTGGAAGCAATCAGAACAAATATTATAGCTAGCACCAATTACCAAAACCTTGTAAAAACGAAGTTGCCTAAGTCATAGTATAGCATACGTGGTATGCTATACCTGACAGTATAGCATACCACGTATGTTATACTGTCAGAGGGTATATCAATTTACACAGAACTACGCAATTACCAAAAAAAAATTCTATATTTCAATTTCAAATGCAACAGACTAGAGCATGTGGCGACAAAATATCCGAAGCAGCAGGGAAAAGATCGGGAGAGCTAACTCGCTCTCAAGAAGCCATAGAAGCCAAGAACCCATGGATTTTCTCAAGAAGCCATAGATTTTCTCAAGAAGCCATAGATTTTCACTCAAGAAGCCATACATTTTCAAAATGCGTATGCTTACATACTCCGTAACGGTTTTTCACAGCGCCTTTTGCGTAGACGCACGGAAAGTTATATTTTGTTATGACTGCATTACTTATGACAGTAATAAAGGATGAGTTTTTACAATGGTATTCACTCTTAATTTTATTTATTTATCTTTTTTATGGTATTCACTCTTAATTAATTTGCTCAAGCTTCAGATTACTATAAATTTTACCGACCATGTGTAAGCAAAATATTAGCTATTATGCGTTTCTATTTAAACCAAGAGTAAATATAATTTTAAAAAAACCAATAGCTTGTGGTTCAACTTTTAATCCTTACGCTTGTGGTTCAACTTTTAATCCTTACGCAAAAATGATTCTATAAGATCAAAAAGAGTAAAAATAAATTGAAATTGAAAACATTTTACTGCTGTTGCACAATTTTACATTTTTATCTTTACAAGTTTTAAGAGTTTAAATAAAGACACATAACTTGTATATGCTCTCTTAAAATATGTTTTAAACTTTCAAAAACTAAGATTTTATTTTTATTAATTTAAACACAATTTTCGTAAACTAAAATAAAAATTATGTATAAAAATTACCTCTCAACTACTTTCGATTATAAATCTTTCCAAAACATAATTTTTTTTTTAAATTACGCATTTCAGAGATTCATGCTTGGCATGAAAGAATTTTTTTCTTTTTTTTTTAAACTATCAAAAAAACTGTAGTTAAAATCTGATCGGTACGAGTCAGCTGGAAAAAAATTGGATAACAACTAACTACTTTTAGTTTAATAAACAATCATTGTATAATGTAACGGTATACTATACTTTTGCAACACTTTAAGGTAGCGATTCTACATAAAATATATTTGGAAACGGTAAAGTGCAGACTCCGAAAATGAACCGTAAAACATTTTAGAAGATTTTGTTTAAAAATAAATAATATAACTTTTAACTAATATAATACACAGGGGCGCACAGAGACTTCAGGATGCCCGGGGCAGATCTTTACAATTTTTTTTCGGATGCCACTCCTACCCAACTTTCACACAAAAAAATAATAATAATAAAGCACTTAAGTATTCACAGATAATATTTTTTTCTACAGTCGTTAAGACAATCTTGTCCCATTGTAGCTCTTAGAGAGTTCTTGATCAAAGCGAGCTTGCTAAAAGATCTCTCGCCTTCAGCCACAGATACTGGCAAGGTAAGAAAGATGCGAAGGCAAATGCATATCTGAGGGAAATTACTTTCAAATTCTTTCGCGTAAATGCTATTCAGCAGATCTAATGGCCGATCGCTTGTCAACAAATAGCGTCGAACAGATGAAAAGTGACGGAACTCGTTCAGAAATTCGTCTTCACAAAGATCGTTTGGATACAGAAAAACGAGATCTTTTACTTTCAATTCTAGAGTGTTGTTCGAGTCCGAATCGGTGTCAGTCGTAGTCCAGATGAAGGAAAATAATCCGCATTACTGTTTCAAAGCTTGAAATTATTCTGTAATCTGTTAAATGAATGTATCTAATACAGTATTAAAAACGTCGAAAGTTCAATGAATTATTGTGATGATGAGCAGTATTTCTAGGTTCGTCGTGGAAGGTTTTTTGTTCTTCTTCTCTTTTCACCAAAATAAGTCTCAAATCCAAGGTTAGCAGCTACTTTTTTTGACTCATCCAATATGGCATCCCAGGAAGAACGAATTTGCCTAAAATCTTTAATCAATCCTTGAATAAGATTAATCTCGTTGTCTAAGTTGATGCTGCAGGACTGCAGAAGAAGGCTAGCATTGTTCCTGGCTGTCAAAGTTTTGAACCAGAAGGTAGTGAAAACAATGAACTCAAATGACTTGATACACTTGAACAGAGAACGTACTTTATTTAAAACATCACCAGTGAGATCCATTTCTTTCAGTTTTTTTAAGGCTTCGATGATCTCTCTCGGTCTCTTTGTCAGTGGCTTAATACATTGAATTCTAGCGCTCCATCTTGTCAGTGAAGTTTGATGTAAAAAAAGGCTAGCAAGGTCATTAAGAATTTTCCAGAGTTCTCTACAATGTTTTCTGCTTTTGCAGAAAACATTGTAGAGAAGCTGGACATTTCCAAAGTATAACTTAGCCGGAACAGAGGATTCTACTGCATGAACCCCGCATAAACTGAGGCTATGAGCGGCACACGGAAGATAAACTGCTTGTAAATTTTTCTATTTAATCAAGTCTTGGACGCCTTTGTTGGTTCTGGCTATATTTAAGCCATTATCATAATCTTAGCCTCAACAATTCTTTATGTCAAGTCTGTTTTCATTAAGAACAGTAAGGATCAGATTGGCAATGTTGGATCCTTTCTTCTGCTCCATCTCTTTTAGTTTTAAAAATCGGCACTGTTGTTCCCACTGCCGTTCTTTGCTAAAGTAGAGAAACAAAAAAACGAAGCAGACCTGTTCGCTGTGTGATCGGTCCGGTGTTCCATCTGTTATGATAGTATAGTAGATGGCCTGATGTATTTCTATCAGAACCTCCAGTTTCACCAATTTCCTACACTCATTTTGCGAACGCCAAGATAAATAGTGGGCCTGAGTACGCTCGCCTTCTTTTTTTTTCAGCAGCTGCTTTCAAGTGATCCGCAAGTATCTTGTTGTGTTTAAACACCGATTCAAATGCACCAAGAAAATTGCCGTTTCCATCCTGGTAGACCTTGTAACTAGCTCCTATTTTAATAATATTATATTTAATTAATAATAAAGATAAATAATAGAAAGGAGAGTTTATCGATTTAATATATTTTTAAATACCAAATTACCTCTAAATGCAAGATTCCTTAATGTGAGGAATACGGTTACTTGAGTGATGCAATGGAAAATCTCATTCCTGCGCTCTGTTTCGTTGGCAATAGCTTTTTCTAGTTTTGAATCGATTCTGGTATAGTTACGCATGTTGTTCACTGCTGTTTTCCGTTCAAAATATGTTTGGCGATGGAGACTACACGATTGATGAGACTTGATTTTTCCAACTAGTTTCCTCCAAATGTCTTTTATGCCACCTCTCCAGGATAATAGGGACGACATATTGTTTTTATTCGGGTCGGTAGGGCCGAATAACTAGGTATACCAGGTTTTGAATTAAGTAGTTCTTCACTGTTTTTGTGATATAAAGCTAATAACTTTTGTGGGTTTAATTGATTCAGAAAGATTAGTACTGCTAGCTACATTTTATTGTCAATGATTTTATATTTTCAGAATCATTATATTTTGCTATTCATAAAATTAAGAAGGCTTCCTATTAGAAAAATATTTTATAATAAGTACATAATAAAACTTCACTCGAGATGATTTTCTCTTTTTTACTCACAAAAACAAGTTTAAAAAAATTGCTTAAAACTGATTGAAGTTTTCCTACTTGATGTACCAACGTGTACATTTGTTCTAGAAAAATCTATCAAGACTCAATTCAGGCTTGTAAATTGCAATTATAACAATACTTTAGGCGGAATTAAAGTAAAAGTATAAAGTGAAGTGCGTTGCTATCGGCGTTGCTAGGGGTTTTATTAAGAGATGGCTCAATTAAAGTAACAATTTAAGATAATTGATACAAATAAAATAGTTTTTTTTTTATCTATACAGTTTAAAAAAATTAGAAATTAAAAAATATATATATATCAATTTTTTGTAGGGGGATAGCCCCTTAATCAAATTGAATTTAGATAAAAAAGAAAATCGAAATATAATATCACTATAAATCATTTTCATTTCTTTATTAGACATTTCAAACTATTTATTGGACATAAATATTTTTTTTTCGCCCACTGATGATGCCCCATAAATGTACTGCCCGGTGGAAGTCGACCCGGATCCCCCACCCTCTGTGCGCCCCTGATAATACATACAAATCTATACAACTTTTCAACATATTCTTAACGAACTTCAAATCTATTTATTTTTTATACATATATTTGCTTCTTTTATTAAAAGTTTCCTAAACTTTGCTTTAACTTAGTAATTGGTGAACTTTACTTGAATAAAAATTTTACTAATTTTGCTTAAGTTTTTATTCACGTAAAGCTGAGCAATTGCTGAGTAAATTACCTAACTTTGCGTGAATAAAAATTTATCCAAAACTGGTGAGGTTTTTATTCACGTAAAACTGACCAATCACTGAGTAAAAGTAATTGCTTTTTTTTATTCACCCGTTTAATAAGGTTTTCATTTCTGGTCATTGTAGTATTTAATTAATACTATTACGTACCTTCTGTTTGCAGTTTTTCTATTGTTATTTACACATTACCAAATAATAAGTGTGCAGTTTTTTGTTTATATTGTTTTCAGGTTAAACATATCCAATGTTGAAAAGCGCTGCTCAACATGTTTCAGATAGACATTACCATCTTCGGTGGTGTTCTCTGACATGACCGTATTATGGAACACCTTAAATACCACCACAAAAAAAAAGGTTAAAAGTGAAGAGAACAATAGTTTTATTTGCGTTTCAAATAAAGAGGTTGCAAGTTTTATTAATTTTTTCAATATCCTTACTATAAAAAGTACTCGTGAAACTGTTATGGGTACGTCCAGAAAGATTTTGATCCTTCTAGGCATAATAAGAAAGAAAAGCACACCCCCTGTGTCATTTATTCCAAGATATAAGAAAGTATAGGAGTATTACGTAGATTACGGAAGAACTACTTAAACTTTTTATTCATGTTCAAAAACATCGGTTCTTTTTTCGTTGGATTTTTGATTTTTTTTTTTTTTTTTTTTTTTGTGTGTGTGTGTGGTTATTATGTTGTTCCAAGAAGATTTTTTTATCTGGAAAATATAGCAAAAATAATATATAGAGTCAAACATTAAAACATTGAACAGACTGTCTAAAGCGAGTCTTCACTTTTGCGTTTGTAGACAATTTGATAAAGATTTTGTAGTCTTATTAGTAGTAGGGTTATTGAAAAATCCTCTGCAATATTTAAAGAAAAAAAAAAAAAAACAGCTTTCTATTAATTACCTAATTTCCTTTTTTCAAAACGTATTCTATATAGAATTGTTATCTTAAAGTGTTGGGAAAGTATAGTATACGGTTTATTTTAATTAAAATATTTAATTCTGGTCTGCAAATTCCTTTTCATTTGCAACAAAACAGGCGCTATTTTTTTGAACTTTCAATAAATCATGTATACAAGATTTATTGAAAGTTCAAAAAAATAGCGCCTGTTTTGTTGCAAATGAAAAGGATTTTGCACGGCGATCTGTTTTCCGATATTTTAACAGTAGTTAGTGGAAGTGCAATTCTGATTTTTTGCGCTTTTTTGTTCAGTTCTGTTTGCTAAAAAAAAATAACTCGCTGGTTTTTTATTTTATTTTAATTTGGTTTCCTGTTTTATTTTTTGTAACAATTAGTGTACGTTGTAGCTAAAAAAGGAATGTCAATATCATCTTTTTACTTCGAATTATAGAACATTAAAGTTGTGTATCCGCTAGGGATATTCTTGTATACGCTTGGGATATTTTACTTTCATGCTTTATATTTGATGGTACGTCTGAATATATTTTGCTGTTACTAGCCAAAAAAAATTAATTTAACTCCTTAAGTTTAGAGAAAATCAAAAATTTTTCAAGGATTACATTACTAAGCACTTATATTTATAATTTATCATTACATTCATATTTTTGTAATAAAATATTTGTTTTTGTCATATTTCTGTTCTGTGTTATACCGCGTTGAAAGCGAGAAAAGTTTTTACTACCTTATTTTTATTTATTTATTTTTTTTATTTATTTGAGTTTTCATGCTATATTTTTCTATACAATGTTCTTATATCCGAAGATATTGTTGGCTTAGCATAGGAACAGCCATAAATAGTCATTAAGACTAATCCAAAGTAGCGTCCGTTATTGACCAACATTTTTGCGTACCGAAATACTACTCAAGCGCTGAGTTGGCGGTGGCGGGATTTGAACTCGTATTGTTCAACAGTCCAGGTTTTCACTTTTTCTTTAACGCTCTTACCATCTGAGCTATCCCGCCTTAAATGCTTTACTATCGTAAATACTAAAAATAAAAAGGTTTATTTTAACGTATATCTTTTGAACTCTTGATTTTAAACTTATTTCACTATTTAAACATGGAGTGGATAGGAATATTAAACTTTGGTGAAAAAGTTGACTTACATGGGATACAGAACCATTTAATGGGTATTCAGCAAAAAGAAAGTTTGTATCGAATTCGGGAGAAAAATCATTTATAATTTTAAATGTTAACAAATCATTAAATGGAAAACCCTTATATGAAGGAATAGTTATGCGTGATAATAATATACAAAAAAGATATATCTGCACTAATCCAACATCAGTTTATTGTAAGGTTATTTGCTTTTTTGGTGTAAAAACAAAAAGTAGACTCAATAAAAAACGATTTTATGGATTAGACTCTAAAGATTTCAAGTTTCGTTTAAGTTTATCCGGATCTGAAGATTGTAGAAAACAATATCAATCCCTTATATCTAATGTAACATCCTCTACACACACAAGGTTGTGCTTATGGTTAGGTGTTGTAAGTTATGGTACTGCGATAAATTGTGACAGTTTGTTTTACATAAAAACAATTGGATCAGTTAAATGTCGTATTCAACCAGGGTATGAAGCACAAAGGTTATTAAAGCTGAATGATGTTAATGTGGTTATAACAATGAAGATTGATAAATCAGATGATGGTTCTGTTTACCGAATTATTGTTTCTGACTTATTAATTAATTGCAAGTCATTGCATTCCTCTTCTGTTGTTAAAGATGCTTTTAGCAAATTAAACTATATTAGTTCTAAAAACTGGTTTGGTTTTCAGTTTTTTGGCTTGGATAGAAGTGAAGTAATCAATAAAACATCTTGTCCAATAATAAAATTTGAAACACCATCTTTTGATAACATTAAACAAAACAACAACAGTGTAATAGTTGATTTACTGAATATAAGAATATGTGGTGCTGGAAAAACTAGTTCGCTTCTCAGTAAAAAAGCTATAAAATCTCGGAATAAGACAATTCATTTATTAGTAGAGTTAGCAAGCTATGGTGATGTAAAAAGTAAGTAGTTCTAATGTTCTATATTTTATTTTGATTAATTTATTGAATCTATAAAATTTAAATTACTTTTTTAGGTTTTGTGAGCTACATAATAAATGAGTGCCCAGAAATTGTTGAAGAAGTTATAGATGAAAATGCTGATTTCTTAGTTCATATTGTTGAAAGGCTTAGGTTTATAACATCTGTTAAAAATCTTGATTGTCAACAAACTGCTTCAATAATGATGGATAAAATTGAAATTTCACAGAGATCTAATAAAGTTTTAAAAGGTATTCTCAAGAAAAATAATATAAACATTCCTACATATGACAACCTTAGAAAATACTGTCTTAATATAGATGTAGGTCTAATTCAACATGCTCATAATGATGCTAGTGTCGACTGTGAGTGTTTTAATTACTCTTGTAATGTTGAAGAAACACTACGAAGAGTCCTATCAACCCATTCTCTTTATGAAAAATTTGATTTTTTTTTCATTGAACAACAACAAGTGATAAGAGATTTCTTAATTCTGAAGAATAATACTCTTTATGAAAAGTTTGACATAAATAGCAAAACTTTAATTCTGCGTGACACTGGAGATAATTTTCGTGCTGCTAGTCGTTATCCAACTGAGCAAACTTCTTTTTCAATATTAAATTTCACTCCTATGATTAAAAGCCCATATGGACAATTTATCACAACTCTTTGGCGAGGTAATGAAAGTCATGATAATATTAAGTTACATGTGCAAAAAGTAAACACAGATTTGACAAATCTAGTTAAAAATGGATTAACAGTGTGTATTAATGGTAGTAAAACTGAACACTTTAATGTGGTTTTATTTCTAGGTGCAGATCTTAGTTTCGTTAACGAAGTTATTGGTAAATGCTCCAGTAATCAAACATAGGGTTGCAATTATTGCAAGTTGCCAATTTATGACTGGACCGCTGTAAATAAAACGATTGGTCCTATTCAATTGGTTGTTGATATACAAGAACGTGAAGAACATGCAAGGGTTGAGCTAGGCCCTAGACCAAACAAAGATTCAGCACAATATAAGAAGTTTACTGCTGACAACTATGGACAATGGGTAAAAAAAAATTTTATTCTTTTAATTTTATGTTTATAACAAGAATCTTATAATAACACACTTAGATACTTCTGAAATATGAAAATTATAAAAAGTGTTTTAAAACATTATTTATTATTTCAGGGAACAGTGTTAATTGAAAGATTAATTATTGATTTCATGCCACCATGCGGCTTGCATTTTATTTTGGCACAACATAGATATCTTTGGAAATTTTATTTGATGTAGTAAATAAGCGTTCACAAGAAAACCTTTTGTCTGAAGGATTAAGAAAGATTAGGTGTTCGTATTTAGAATTTCAGCTTGATTGTTATTTTAAAAGGTAAATATATCATTATTGATTTATGTGTGATATAATGTGTAGATATTATTTTATTTTTATTTATTATTTTATAATTTTTTAAAATTTGATTACAGATATTTAGTTAATTGTAAACAGTTCCAGTTATTGACAAGTGGGAGTCTTAAGAAGTGCTACATGTTTTCTTGTTTTACCTATGCTGAAATTTAGCACAATATACTATATAAATATATTATTTATAAAAATAGTGTATATAATAAATAATTATTAGTTACTTAGGTCAATGGACAAAATTGAAATGGTTTTCATAACCATTCAATCTAATACTGCACATAACTACTTTTAGCAAAAAGAAACATTATGATGGAACTGAGAATTTGAGAATGATTGGAAATAATTGCAAAATCTTAGAAGCAAATATATATACTTTTCTTACTGTTTTTGTTGAGAATCAAGGTGTTTCATGGTAGTCTCAAAAAAATCAGAAACTAAGACATATCCTTCAACTTTACAATGCATGGGCTGATTTGGCTCAGTACATTTTTTTATTTTAATTATTTTAATTTTATAGTTAATAGTAATAAGTAACTTTAGTAAATTGATTAATTTGACTTAAGTTTAATGCTGGAAATACCAATAATATTCTTTAGTTAAAACTATTATTTTCTTATATACATTAACATGGAGTATATTAACTTTTACAGGGATGTTCGTTCCGTTCACCATGATCTTGATCAAATAAAATCCTTTCGAGTAGAGGCATATTTTCAGCTATTTCTACATAATGCTGGAACAAATAAAATTTCAAAAAATGCCATATATGCATTATTTGAGAAATCATCTTTGTATATTAATGGAAACATATTTCAAGTTATTTAATTGGGGGTATGGATACTTTAATGCTAATGCAGGAAAACATTTAAATAAGCAAATAAAGTATTATGAGATTTCATATACTAATCTTTGCAAAAAATGATTCTATACAATCATTCATTTGATGAGATGCAAGCAATTTTGTTATACAGAAAATATTCTTCCTTCTTCAATAGTTGTTAAATGTTCAAACAAATGTGTCAACAGGAAGGACACAATAAGAAAAGCAAAATTTGTCCCTTGCATGAAAGTCATCCTGAAATCGTATTTGAAAATAGTGAAAATGAAGATGAAGATTGGAATGAAAAAATGTTTTTTTTTATTTACAGTTAATGAATGAATTTAGATATGAATGAATGTATGCTACATATGTGATTATGCAATAAATAACTATAATAAATATCATAACGTAATAAGTTGTATATGTCATAATGTGAATATATGCTATAAATTAATCTTTTATATATATTATATATTTTTTTTAATTGTGGTTACAATGTGGAACAAGTTATTACTCAATAATATATATATTATTAATTAATAACTTGTTCTAAAATATAGAATATGTGGAATTGCCTGAAACGTTTTATAACAATACCAAAACACATTTTTAGGTACAAAAGGTGTTTCTCAATAAATTCAACTTTTTATTATAGCTTCTAGTTAAATGTCTGATCTGCACAAAAAAATTTTTGATTGCGCTGCGAGGAACATCGAAAAGCGAGTAAAAAAGAAAATAAAGGGTAACAATACATTAAAATCTGATATGGCTGCTACTCATCACAGAAAAGTAACTTTATCGCATGTCCCTAAACTTTCATTTACGAGGGTGTACGGTAGACAATTCGATGCACCCACTGAAAAATGTAAAGGTAATACTAAAGATTCAACTGCTATTTTTTGTCTTAAATCTTTAAAGCGTGTTGTTACAATTTTGAGTACAGACGCAATTTTAAAAGTTCATAAATCAAACGATGTTTTACTTATTACTCTTTGATAATTTGTTGGAATCAAAAATTATTTTATTTGATGATATCAAACATTATTTTTTCGAAAGTGGCCCTCTCGTACTACCAATATATGAAGAATGTGGAGAAACAGTGGTCGTTTTTTTTGTGTGTGGCGGCCTTGACGAAGATAACAATGTTCCAGAATGGACAAACGAAATGTATCCTTACAACTTCCAACTCAGCATTACACCTCACTTATATATACATAAAAGAGGCATTGGAGTTATCAGTCTGGATTTAAACAAAGATTTTGTATCTGTTCAAAAAGATCAAAGTATTTAAGATGTCGGTTTTCTTAAGATACGTGGCATTTATTATGAAATAAGAGATATCACGTCTTGTTCAGATTTTGATGTAATTTATTTTAAAACAATAGTTACAAAAGCAGGAAACAACTGTAAATATGAAATTGTGAAGTCTCTAACCTTCCGTGGCAATATAGCGCATGTGGAAAAGTCTCATTTTAACTTGTACCGTGGTGTTACTCTACAATTGAATAAAATCGACGCTGATGAATATAGTGAGCTAGATATTTCATTCCAAAACGCGTGTTTTAACTGCCTTGGTTTTTTAGTTCACGAAGTTTGTATATAATATTTCGAAATATGATGGAAAATGAGATTTGGAAAAAAACAAAGACGTTACTTTTTTTTTTTAAAACAATTTTTTAAAAAAAAGAGATTTTACAAAAATTACTTAATAAGTTATTATAAAAATTAACTCTTTTAATTTTTTAGCATAAAAGCTGATGATAAATGATTAATTAGCAAACGTTTAGCAAATGATTAACTAGCAAAAATTAATTCAACACATTGAATTAATGCTTTGCACAAAAATATTCTTTTTTAAAATGTGAGTAATTTGCGGAACATGCAATAAAAACAATTCAAACTTCGAGTTTTAATGTTTCACTTCCAACCGTAGATCGCGGTATCCTAAGGGTGATTCGGGTATTCCACATATCGTGATTTACTATATCAAATAGCGCTAGAATCAATCATAAATAAGTTGTACCCTATTTCAACGTTACATGGCACCGTGACTGAACTAATAAAACATTTCCAACTTTTAACAACTCAATAATGTTTTCCTCACAAATTGTTATTGTATTATAAAGATGAGTTACAGTACTTGTTGTTATTGTTTTGTAGTAAAACAATAAATGTATAGCTCAAACATTGCTATTACTTAAAAAAAAATTAATACAATAACCGTGGTTATCGTTTCTGTTAATACTTTTGCAACAATTACAAAAGTCCGAACCGTAATTAGAACGATACCGTTCTAATTACTTTTGATTGCTAATAGAGTGGAGGAGGATAAACCACAATACCAATATAGTCTCATGAAAGGGCACTTCTTCAAGCCCTTTATGATATGATGGTAGAGCTACAAGCTTATCAAAGTAATTTTTACAATTTACAAATTAGTCTTTACAGTATATTATATTTTATATATATATTTTTTATATATATTAGATAACTAATTAAATAACGGTTGCTTTAGTTGTGTATTTATTTAAAAAGAAAGTTTTTTTATTAGAATAACTTTATTGATCTGAGTTAAATTTTTTATAAACTTTAAAGAATCTCGAATATTTTTTTTTTGAGCGTGGTTTTTGTCTGACTATTAATTTGACTATTAAAACAATTATTTTTTATCAGAACAAAATTAAAATACTAAAATTAAATAATTAATTTTATTATTAAATTAATTAATTATATTAACTAATTTAATAATAAACTTTATTATTAAATTATAACATTTAGTTTTTCAATTAAAAACTAACTTTTTGGCTTTTCAATTTAAAAACAATTCATAGCAAAGTAGAAGTGTTGGTTATCGAAGTTAAGATATTATAGAGCTCTTAAACTTTTTATTTTCTAGGTAAATAATGACGACGGTACGTAATTTATAATAGGCCGGCTGAATAAAAATGAGCAATTGTTTATTCTGAGTAATTAGTTAGCTTAACGTGAATAAAAACTTAAGCTATTTTGATTAAGTTTTATTTACGTATAGTTAAAGACTAAAACTGCTAAAGTTTTTAACCACGTAAAGCTGACCAATTAATGAGTAAAAGCAATTGCTCATTTTTATTTACTCGACCAAATATGTTGTAAGTTGTGACGTTGGTAAGTGTTTTTTATTATGCTGTATGTTGTTATGTATGCTGTTAAAGTATGCTGTATGTTGTATGGCGTTGGTAAGTGATTATAACATGTTGTAAATAATGACGTTGGTAAGTGTTTTATATTATGCTGTAAGTAATAACGTTGAAAAGTGTTTTATATTATGCTGTAAATAATTACGTTGTTAATTGTTTATACGATGTTGTAAGTTAAGGTGAGTTTCCACTCATCCGTTTTTCTACGAGAACGGGATAGGAAAAGGAAAAATAATCACGTGAGCATGCGTAGTTTTACGTCGGACAAATTAAAACTTATAATACGCATGCCCACGTGATTATTTTTCCCTTCCCTTTCCCGTTCCCCTGAAAAAACGGATGAGTGGAAACTCACCTTAATGACATTGGTAAGTGTTTTATAAAATGCTGTAAATAATGAAGTTGATAAGTGTTTTATATTATGATGTAAATAATGACGTTGGTAAGTGTTTTATATTATGCTGTAAATAAAGTGTTTTAAAAGCTGTTGTAAGTATCGACATTGGTAAACGTTTTATATTATGTTGTATGTAATGACATTGGTAAGTGTTTTATAAGATGCTTTATATAATGACGTGATAAGTGTTATATATTTTGCTGTAAAAATGACGTTGATAAGTGTTTTATATTATGCTGTAAGTAATGACGTCATAAAGTGTTTTTTATTATGATGCATCACTTTTAGAAGAAAGACACAAACAACAACAAAAACTTAAATATACTGTTATCTTCAAAAAACAATATTTAGTATACTGCATTAGTTTATGATACATCATGATGTATCATAAACTAATGCAGTATACTAAATATTGTTTTTTGAAGATAACAGTATATTTAAGTTTTTGTTGTTGTTTGTGTCTTTCTTCTAAAAGTACGAAATGTTTTTAGCAATCAAATCTTTTGATTTTATGTTTTAATTATTAATATCTTTATGTTTTAATTATTAATATCGAACAAGTTTAGAGATGCAAATACTAAAAGTTTCTACTTTCTGCGTAATTAAGTATTTTTCTAGTATTTTATTTCATTTTTATTTTCGATCTTTACGGACGTGCTGTGTAAGAAATTTTAAAGATACACTAAACTTTCTATTTAAGATTCTATTAAGATTCCATTTGAACCGTTAGGCATGGTAAGGGCTGCAATTGTGACGTTGTTAAATTGACGGCACCCTTAGGTATATGAATAAATGTCGCCCAAATGATCTTAATAAAATTTTAAAATTTACATATCTACACTAAAAACTAGAACGTTTCAAAGAAAATAAAATCAAGCGCTCCTTTTTGGTTGGTGTTCCTAGGCAGTTGTCTAGACTTGCCTAAAGGTAAATGCGCCTCTGGACTTGATAGGGGGATGAATAATGAAGTTCCTTTTTTGTAAAAAACATTTTTGTTTTTTATTTTTATTTGTTTCAAAGCTTATACTTTGCTTAAAATTTATACTTATTTAATTTTATTACTTTTTCAACCTTCGTCTTTGCACTTAATAAGATACTTTATTATTATCTTTAAAACTAAAGAAATGTATTTGAATCATAAAAATGATCCGGTTCAAATTGATTTTTCAAAGGTAAAAAACACCCTTTACATTGTTGAAGCATATTTTAATAACTGGGAATTTTTTAAAAACTGGGAAAGGTAAAAAAGTAAAAAAAAAAAATTTAAAAACTGGGAAAGGTAAAAAGATTCGAATTTTTATAAAAGACGCAGAAAGAATATGTTTTTTTTTGTATCTTTTTGGTTTCTTTTAATTAACTTTTTTTTCTTGATGTTACTTTGTTGTTGTTTTTTTTTTGTTTTTTTTTTGTTTTTTTTGTTTGTTTTTTTCGCGTTTAAGGAAGGTCAGTGAGATTATTGACGACATGAAAACATAAAAATGCATATAATTTATCTTTAAATCGGCGTAAGCAGATTATATATAGACTATGAAGACTGTAAAATACCATAGTCTATAGAAATATACCTTGAACAAAAGAATAAAACAATCGCTTCCAGACCTATATGGTCTGGAAGCGGTTGTTTTATTCTTTTGTTTTCCGAGTTTTTCAAAAAAAGTCACGTGATCAATGTAATTACAAAACAAAGATTTAAATGGCTAACGCTTTAAGTTACTCTCAACAAAATACAGTAGAAATCTTAGTTGATTTCTTAAATAGCGATGATTTTGATGAAGAAATTAAAACAGAAATTGAAGCCACAAGTTCAGAGGTAAAAATCATATAACAAAAATAAATTTAAATCTTGTATTTTTACAGTTTTAAACTAATTAAGTGTGTTAAAATTACTTATGTTAATTTACTTTCTTATGTAATGAGTATTATGTTACTTTTCTTTAGATTTCTGACCAAATTAATGAACTTGTCTTCAATGTTCAAAGTCATATAAAACTAAAGGAGGTCTCAAGACATATACGATCAAAACATGTAAACAAAGAAGATGAAATTTCTTGTATCAGCATTGAAGATATTGATTCATTAATTGCACATGCTAAAAAAAATATATTAAATACATCGTATTATCCTAATGACTTAACCTATAAAAAATTATAATTTAGTTGTAACTGATCAGTGTTATGCTGAGAGTAAAAAGTATTTTTTTAAACTTTTATTTTGTAAGTCTGGTGATGTAGAAAGATATTATTCTAAAATATATGCAGAATTTGTTCTTGGAGCAGAATACCATTTTTCTGAATTGCAAAAGCCTTATTGCACTCTTTTTGCAACCAAATATGTGGATAAACTAATGTCACATTCAAAAAAAGTAAAAGAATTTGGTAATAAAGAACCCATTCAACTCAACCCAATACCAAATCTCTTATCTTGTTACTAGAAAGTATGCTAACCAATTATATAAAACAAAAGTTAATTGTGCAAAACAGAGGAGGATTATTAGCTGTTAACAAAAATAAGCAGTATTTATTTATTAAAGTCGAGGAATGTTTTTGAATAAAAACCAGTTTTTATAGCATTAAAAAAAATTGGCATTCCAAAAATTACAAATGAACTATAAAATTACAAATGAATTTTTGAGTGAAGAAATATTAAGCTATTATAATACTCATTGCTTCAAGAAAAGTTATGGAAAAAGAATTAAAAATATATATATATTAGAAAATAGAGGCTTGTTGTATACAGGCTTGTTGTATACAGGCTTGTTGGCATTTTTATTTATTGTTGTTATATATTTAACTATATTTAATTGCCTTCTTTCAGATGGTTTAGTAGTTGTGATTTAACAGGTAAATTTAAGGTAGGCACAACACCAAGTCTTAATGTTTTTCTTTCAGTCTTTAAAAATAGACAACAGTGCAGGTAAGTTTTTATACACGAGTAATTTTAACTCAATGGTGTAAATGACTAATCATCATTTACACCATTGAGTTAAAAATAATACAAAAGTTGCCATGGCTATTTGGTTTATAAATTAGACATAAGACTTGTCTAAATTATTTAACGAAGTGCACCAACGAGAAGGTAGGCCATAGGACTTTGCACTCCATTTCTAAAATGACAGACATTTTAACTATAATGATCATTATAATTACATTGCAATACCATTATATATTACTCATGTAAAATAATATTAAATATGACTTGCTATGAAAACTATGTACTCACTTGTAAATTCTATATCTTCCGGAAAAAAGTGTTTCTCACAAAAATAAACATTTCCTTTGGTTATTCATTCTTTTAATAATCCATCTAATGGATGATAAATAGCAAGAAAATCAATTAACTTTTTCCTCCAAATGGTATGATATTCATCTTTTCTTGTATATATTTGAATAAGTCCAGTATCCTTGTGTTTATTTGCATCTGAGACTGTGCACTGTGGAAGACAGCAATTTCTACCTGGCATTGCTAAGCAGTGATTGCTTTTTTTTACAAGTACGATTACTTTAGTTCTAATGTAGTTCTAAAAAGTACTGTTTAATTAAAATTAAGTTAACATTCTTTGAAATGTCTTTTAACATTCACTAACTGGAATTGCTTAAAATATTTTAGTTTTATGTAGTTCTAAATAGGACTGTTTAAATAAATTATAATTAAAGATTCTTTGATATATCTTTTAAAATTCATTTCGACGGCTGATTTGTTTTGCAACTACATTGATCACGTGATCGAAAAATAAAAAATAAAACAATAGCTTCCAGACCAGGGTATATTTCTATAGACTATGAAAATACAAATATTTTTAAAAATTATGTCATCGCAGTTTTAGGTTAACTTATTCTATTTAAAACAGTTAGATACCTTTTTTTGTTCTTTATTCTTAATAAAAATAGTTCATCAATGTCGCAGTTTGATAAAAAAAATAATTCATTGTCTGCAATCATAGGATTCAAATCATTTTTTCATTTTAAAGAACCGATTGTAATAAAAATGTTTTCGTTTTTATTGAGGGTAAATCAATTGTTCTTATTTCAATAATCTTTCCAAGAGTTTTGATTTAAACTGAGTAGACAATGATGGGCCATCCACTTTAAACATTTTTTTTTTATTAATTTTTTGTCGCCACCTTTTATTCTAAAGACGTTTATTCTGCAGCCGTTACTTACAGGATAAAATAGTGAAATATAATTTGTTACACATTATTCTGAACACAACGTATGAAAAATTAACAACATTTGTTATTATTTAATCGAAAATGAACTTTTTCAAGTAAAACGGTTTCCACTGCATTATACGTTTTTTAATTAATTTTTAATCAAAGAGAGCACTATTTTTTTCTCTTTCTCAAGTTTACACCACATAATATAAATAATTAAAGTTTTGAAGATCTTATTCAATATCAACAACCGTCCCTAAAAAATTATATAACCGTTTAACCTAAAAACATGATTGCAGATACTTGAATTTTAATTTAACTAACAAAGAAAAAAAACTTCTGGAAAAATTAAAAGAGAATGCCATGTACTGAAACAATTACAAGTAGTGGGTATTTTATTTATTTTATCATTATTTTTTCTGTGTTTGCGGGGTTTTTGTCTGGTAATGGTATGGATTAAAGTTTTTAAACGAGGACGTCTCTTAGCAAACCTTAAACCAAAAAAAAGTGCTCTAAACAAGCAGTCCACATTTAAGCCCATACACGCACACACATACTTTTTGTGTCTGTACGTGTATGTGTGTATTTATTTATATATGTATATATATATATATATATATATATATATATATATATATATATATATATATATATATATATATATATATATATATATATATATATATATATATATATATATATATATACATATATATATATACATATATATATATATATATATATATATATATATATATATATATATATATATATATATACATATATATATGTATATATATATATATATATATATATATATATATATATACATATATATATATACATATATATATATATATATATATATATATATATATATATATATATATATATATATATATACACATGTATATATATATATATATACATATATATATATATATATATATATATATATATATATATATATATATATATATATATATATATATATATATATATATATATATATATATATATATATATAATTTTATTAGTTCATAGGTTACTTATAAAACGTTAATGAAAATAACATAAGTTGTTAGTGATGAAAATAAAATTAATTTAAAAAAATACAAAGTTCTTATCAAAAGATTTAAATCTGAAAAGTAAAGTAATTGTATTGTTGTACCAAGGTTGCAGGGAGGTTTTGTATTTGGGAAGGCTTTAATTATATCGAGGAAGGTGTGTGTAACATTTATTTAAGTCAAATTAACCAACACAACTGTATAGAGGTGCTAGAGAATTGACACAACTTTTACAGCTAAAGTGTCGGCGAAACATAGCAAATTTATTGCCTTCGCCAGCTCAATTATTAAAAATCTGATGATCTGTATATACACATATATCATTTATATCACAATGATGATCATGATCATGATCGATATATACACATATATACATTTATATCACGAGGTGATATATTTGTTTATACTTAATGTGTGTATGTATGTGTGTCTACGCACTTACCGCAATGCTTGCCAACGCTTTGATGCTGATAAAAACTGTTTTAATAACTTTTGTATAAGGTAAAATAAGGTAATTTTGGCAAGAAGATAATTTTGGCACCCCTTCAAAAGATACCTAAAAATATTTATTTATTAGTATGTTGAAACCATATATGGATAGCAAGATAAACAATTTTCTTAATAATGTCGGTTTAAACTTTTTTTTTTTTAATGTTATAGGTAAGGGAAAGGCGCATATGATGGCATAGCGCCTATGATGGCATACCGGTCATATTTTCATAAATGTTGGTCATGGAGAAAACATAGAAGAACATGTCTATACTGACTTTATATTAGGTTTAGTAAAAATAAGTCTCTTATGCAACAATATTGCTTTTATAATCAAGAAAAATTGATTTTGGGATGCGCAGTTGTATTTTTAATGCCTTTAAATATTTTATATAGTGATTTTATTATTAGCAGAAAAAAAATTTTCATGCATTTTATTTCCAAGTTTTGCGCATTTAGTGGAATACTTACTTTAATTTTTTCTTTTGAACAAAGCAGACACAGCTTGTTTTAATGAAAATGATGACTTCTTCCCATGATAACATACTGACAAGTTCAGTGTGTTGCAATATTGAAGAGTTGGAAAAAACCTTTTTTTTTTTTCATAAAAACAACATACTTATTGTTGAAGTAAAAAGGAATTTTTACTTCACTAAAAAATGCATGGTTCAAAAAACACAAAAAACGCAATAACTCTTATGCGCATGCGCAAAATTTAACACTGCTGCTGTGTTGCACGAATGGGTTAATTAGGATGATTACGCGTAATTTCTGGCATTTCTGAGGAAAGACTTTTAGGTCAAATGAAATTGTCAATTTACCCTTGATGCTAACCAACCTCATCCTCCCCTATGCCATTATAGGAGCAGTAGTTGCCTATGATGGCATACTTGTGCTTTTTTTTAAAATAAAAAAAACTAATAAAAAAAGAAAACTGATGAAAACTCCTAAGGTTATTATTGTTCTACATGTAACAAAGAATGTATCCATATCAAAACTTTTATTTTTGGTCTTCAGGATACTGAATAATGAAGCTTCAAAGTTAAGTATGCCATCATAGGCGCCTTTTCCCTACGTTAATTTATGATTATTAGCTTTTTCTTAACATTTTTACCTTTTTGAAAATGTCAATTTACTAATTTTTTCTTGTGAGTTTTTACCAAAAACTAATTTTTATTTTATTCAAAAATATGAACTGAATAAAATGTGAGCAAATAGTTAAAATATTTAAAATATTTTTAATCATTTTTAATCATTTTAGTTTTTTATAATTTACATGTTACCTATTTTTATTCACCCCCATTAGTTAAAGAATTTAGAATCTGTTTCACCAAGTTCATTATTTACACTTCATAAGTCATGACAATTAGCTACCTCTGATGAAACCTCACAATCTCAAGGTGTTACATTTGGATCACTAGGTAGACTTGAATTAAAAATACAAAACGAACACGTATAAAAGGAGGATAAATTATGCTAAAAAAATGACTGGATCACCATATATATTTGAACTACAGGAATCTTTGAAATATAAGAACAGAAAACCACATAAAAAGTGCAAAAAATATATATATATCTACACGTCGAAAAACGTGTTTGAAAAACCCTGGTGCTAAAGATGTGATTGACTAATAACCTTGTGCAATGTGGCAATACAGCTATGGCGATCTTATACCTTATTTAAACGATACATGCCATAAATGCCATAAATGCTGTAGATAGTAGTATGAAACAAATGCTGCTATATGTGATGTTTGTTTTTTTTTAAAGTTTTTAGTTGTGATGTCTGCATGAAAAACTAATATTTAAAAAAAATCATATTTCTAAAACAAATCTCTTGTTTTAAAGTTGTTTTTGAATTTTGTATTTTCATTTTTTTAAGGTGGTTATCAGGTAAAAAAAATAGCGATTTTTGTGAAAAAATGTGTTTTTTAGTTTATCAGCCAACATTTAATTGGCTTTTTAACCATATATAACATGATATGGATTAATTAATAAAAAAATGTAAAAAATTGTTTTAGTTGGTAGGAGTAAAAAAATTTACTTAGCAACCGCATAGCAACCAACAATTTTTTATAGATATATTACCCAAAGACCTAGGTTTAAACAATTATTTATTTTCATGGGTCTGTATAATTAACTAAACTTTTGAACCAGAGTTATTTTTAGCAAAGCCGTATGTTTTGATGTTATTTGTTAAGCAGAGAGAAAAAAGTTTAAAGTTTAGATAAAGAATAGAATAAGGAATAAGAAATTAGGAAGCACGATAAAAAGATGAAACCTTAGCAAATACTAATTTTGCAATCAATTTGATATTTGGCTTTTAAAAAAGATTGGAAGTAAGAGTTAATCCTAGAAGACGAAGGGTAGATGACTCGTCGCAGATGAGTAGGTAGGTGAATTCTTATATAAACGGAATTTAGAAACAATAATCATCGAAATCATAGAAATTAATCATCATTCCATTTACAATTTAACTTAGGAAGCACATTTTTCTAATGAGGTCTTTCTTTTGAGTGATATATTCCTACTTTGCTAAAATAGATAGCTTAAAAAACTATTAATCAAGGCGTTTTCAACACCTATACTATGCAAATTAGGTTTGATGAACTTGAGACAACTACTTTATAGGATGCAGATTTATAGTTGTGTATGATATTTTAATTATATGTTATATTCAATAAACTTCCTTACTTCCTAAAGTATGCCTAACTAGCCGCATCGTTGTGCTGAAATTACCATACTAGGTCGCTAATTTTGTCATTTTTTAGTATTTTGTAAAACAAGTTTTACAGAAAAATTTAATAGTTTGAAACAATTTTTCAACTGGTATTTTACAGATATTCATGATTTATCAACGATATAAAAGCAACTACTGGCTATAAACAAAAAAAAGCAACTACTGGCTATAAACAACAAAATAGCTTAACTCGCTAAAACTTTTCTACTTTACCCCAAGTATATAAAATTATTAAGATTTTTTTTCAAATGTTTTTTGTTCAACACATTAACCACTATTATATATGCAAAGTTATATACAAAAAATATTTATTTCAGGAGTTATAAAGATTGCTTTTGTTATAAAAATGAAAAATAGATATACTAATTTCTGAAATATCCAGCACTGAGAAGATTAGTTGATTGAGGTTTAATTTATACTATTGCCCGTTGCTTATTTAAATATACCAAAGAATATAAAAAGAGCAGGGGCAATTTTACAGAGGTTGTGACATCCCTACTTCCCTCAAAGAAGGTGATTTTCAACTTACAGTCGGTTTTTTCAGGAATAGAGTTGGTTAGTCGGGTAAAATTTATGGTTTGTAAACTATAAACATTAAGTAAAAAAATCATTTGTTATTTCATAATAAGTAAGTTGATATCATAACTTAGAAAGAAAGAAAAAAGGTTGCTTTCATTTAATTAAAGTTTTTGTTTATAACAAATAGTATCTACTTTGGTCATTAGAGAAGTTCGTAGAACTTCTCTAATGACTTAAGTAGATCTCTCTATAAAGTTAAAGTTAACAATAAGACAGAAAATAACTAAATATTTATATATCATCTTGAACTGTGTTTAATTATAAACATTTTAAGTATTTGTTTAAATATTTTGAATGTTTATTAAAAAGTTATTTATATTTTATTATATACGTTTAAAAGAAAAAATTTAAAAATGGAAAAACTTTGAACATTGAGCATATATTAAAACCCGTGCTCTATTTGGAGTTTCAGCACAAGCCATAACCAATGAATTGGTTTTAGTTCATGGTGACCAAGTTCCAAAATATAGTACAGTTGCCAAATGGGCTACTTTATTTAAAGATAGTAGAG